CGAAAAAACAAAGAGCATAATAGAGGGTTTTTTTGGGTTAGATCGCGTAAATATATAAATGTGTCGTTAAAACCCGCCACCACCCGACACAGCCAACTAGTGAGGGTTGCTTAAAACACACAAACTCAATGCATTCGACAGCAACACTTTGTGTGGCCTGAAAAAGAAAAGTGTAGACAATAGGTGAGACCCTTTTGGGTAATGGCCCTTTCTGCGTAGCACAAAGATGCATGTCAACAACTAATTTGGTTAACTTTGAAGCATCACTTGGGCATTGTGCAATATTGTCAACATCATTCGCTACGGTACAAATATTCTAGGGTGGAATGCGAAGCACGCGATTTTTTTTCTTATTCTTTAAAACCGCTAAACATTAAACTCTTTCTCCAAAACTGAATGCTGCGATACATTCCATCCAATGGGGGGAGGCGCGGTTAGACAACGAGAATGGCGTGTCAACTTGGCAGGGTCGTTTGGACGATCGAACGATCCCTGTTAGCGAGCACGACCTTCACGTCTTCTCACGAAAGCGCTTCGTGAAGAAATAACAAAAACAAAAACTCAAACGCCCGTAGTCAAACAACACCGCTGCCTTAACAGGCAAGGCCTTCAGGCAATGGTCCCATCTGTCACAGCGCACGATATCCAGATCACAACCCGCTGCGCTTCCCCTTGAAGGCTCTCAATGGGTTAGCCCCACAATAATTGCAGGAACTGATCCGTGTTGACGCTCCAACGAGGTTCCTGAGATCTGCGGATCGCCTTCTTCTAAGTACACCGCGGTCAAGGCTCTGTCCCTGGGGTGATGGGGCTTTTGCCAGTGCAGCTCCCAGACGATGGGACAACGCTTTCCTTTTGGTAGTAAAGACAATCAGAGTCGTTATAGATATTTAAGTCCGTCTTGAAAACTCACCTCTGTAGACTGGCCTTCACACGATAGTTCTGGCCATTTACCCTGCAGGTTCTGTTTATTTCCTGCTTTCCAAACAAGCTGGCGCATTGCGAATCTACGAATGAAATGCGACTTACAAATGTGAATTATCAATACTGCCAACACATATTCGCCAAATAATTAGTTTTACTCGTGAGAAGTTCGTCACCGAAGGATTTGCCAAATGTGACTTCACACAGAGAGACTTAAGTTCTCTGACTTGGGTAACATTCAATGTGTTGGTGTGAGAAAATGTTTATCTTAAAGTTACCACGGTGAAAACATGTTTTCATTCAAAAATAATTACATGCTAAGCCCATAACATGGCATCGGCTCATAATGCGCAAGAATCCACTGCAGGCGGTCCCCGCTCTCATAACATATTCACGATAAAGGTTTTGGCTTAGAGAGCGTACATATAAATGTGTCATTAACCCACTGCCACCCGACACAGCCAATTAGTAAGGTTTGGCACGTGAACAAACATGCCGATCGCTATCACTTCAGCACATCGGTGTGACGGCGACTAGAACCAACACATTTACAATTGAGCACGACGTTAGCTGGTGATTAACAACAAGCTTCTCAGGCGATTTGCCAGGATTGTGGTCGCTAAAACCTACGTGTTCATTGGTCCCCGATTTTACGATGCAATGCATTTCTGTAAACCCCGCCGTCAAAAATCGGACCCCTATTTTCCCATAGACGGTAGAACTGGAGAATCGTCATCTTGCCCTGTGTTCTTCCTTTTATCAGCCGTATTTAACAGGGTTTAATAGGCATACATCTACAACAACCCTCGGAGAATAATAAAAGCTCCACACCAAGTCACATCGGAAACCAGACCGACTGTTCAAAATACGTTCAGAGTCGTGTCGGAAGATGCTCCGTAAATCGATCCCATGGTTTGCGTGATATAGACTGCCTGTATTTTATTTTACGCAAATCACATGCAATAAATATTCAGATGTTACATTGTGTCACCCACAGGCGAACTGAGCAAACGAGACGGTGCAAGCGACACAGCACAAAACTAAAACTAACAACTAAAACTCAACTTATTTTTAATTTTACCAGCTAAGGCCGCTGATCTATTTCAGAAGGCCACAAATGATAGCTCGGCAAAGTGTACTTATCACGGGAAAATGTATAGCGACCAAATATACAGGCGTGAGGGTCGGGATCGAACCCACAACCTCCTGTATAGCAGCAAGGTAGCTAACATCTCACCATACTAACGAGACGTAAAACGAAATAAAACAGAAGCAATTCTTGAATTGAAACGCAATGCTAAAGCCTGACTATTTAATCAATGACAAGAGAAAGCGAATCATTTCCACCAAACAAAGACAATGTACGTTTGCGAGGTAGCGAATGTTGAACATTGAGCCAGCACCGTTGACATCCTGAATTAGAATCTGGACTTGATTATAAACTGGGTTCCTCAGCATAGTGTAGCGAGTTGGTGACTGCACACCAAAAAAACATCATCATATTCAAAGTTTGGTTTTGCACTCAATCTGGAAAGAATTGCAGATATGAGAAATAAAAAAAACGGTTTCAATGCCGTGCTTTTAATCTCATGGCAGGGTGTGTGGCGATGCAGGCCTCATACTCTGTGACGGATAAAAGTTGCCGCGCTTGATGGATTATTCTGGAAAGTTCCGTGAGATCTCTTCCACAGTCACTCTCTGACATACGGGGTGTGCTGCTCCAAAGAGTTTCCACGTCAATTCTTCACCTCGTGACGCGATGCCCGTAGCACAATTGAGGTAAACCGAGGAAAAACGGAACGTGCAGCATACATTGCACCTCCGGTTAGCACGGTTTGGCTACATATGGTGCGAAAAAAGTTCTACAAACATGCATTAAGATGATTGAGATTACTTTGCTGCTATGAATTTCAGCGTAATACTCCACTTTGTTGAGTTATCATTTGTAGTCCGGTTGCTTCTGAGAAATAAGTTAATACCTTAGTCGGCATTACCTGGTAGGATGGGAATAGTTTTGTTCAAATGTTAACGTGTTTGGGTGATTTGTTTACCTTTACTGTACTTTGCACTGCTACCGTGTGTTTGTACTGTTATTGTAACGTTATTACCTGCCCCACACTGGACATGAGCAACAAAGAGCTTCATGGCTCGTCAGATTCCTTCGCTGTAAATACAGATCCTGATTCTGACATACATTGCGCCGATCTGAATTCAAACTAAGCCCGAGCAAAAAACCAGAACCGCGGCGAGCGACGCTCCAAGCTCCGGGTGTCGCGTGGCGCCGCTCGGAGCCAAACCGCTCACCTTCGGCGGAGGCCCCCGCGGCGCTCGCGGCGCTGTCGAGGCAGGCCGTGGGAGCGCGCAGAGGGGCCACCCGAGCGGGCAGCGGCGGCGAGAGCGCTGGCAACAAAAAACGGCGGCAGGGCGAGAAGTTACAAGAGGCGGCCCTCCGCACACCCGGCACACGTCAAAGGGTGCGATGCGTTCGAAAACTCGCCAGCTTCATCGTTAGCGCTGCTGTTTAATGGAGACTTAATTATGCTCGAGTCTCTGTCAGGCCAAGGGTCCTTTATTCGGGCAGGGTGTAAAGTTGAACCCAATAGACCGGCTGACAGATGCACAGTTACAGATCGCTCCCCCCACAGTGCAATTACAAACGAGTCAATCAATCTCTCTGCAACTCTCTCTCTCTGCTCTGCAGGGCCACTGCTGCCCAGCACCTTTATCCTGCTGTTGATTTTCCCGCTATTATGTGGCGATAATGACAAGGTGGCGAGTGGCTTTGGCTTGGCCCTTTAAACACTGCTGCCAAAGCAGCCCCTAGATAGGCGATTTGATTTCTTTCTGACGAGTGGTTGCTCTCTTGATACCAATCTCTGCAGATTCAATTTACTATCCTATCGGAGCAGAATGTGACACCTTCTAACTGTGGGTTTGCCAGCTTCAGCTCAAGTCCCACGCGACTGACAAATGTCTGCGGCTTTCATGTTTAAATCAGACACTTTTGAAGGATGACAGGGAATAAGCTCGCATCATCTGAATGCCAGCCAAGTTGTCACTTCGCAAGTTGCTAATGGCAAAGTGAATGTCGTAATTGCACCGTGCGATAATCAACTTAACAGTCGTGTACATTTGCAGACATTTATCGCCCACTGCAGAATCGTGGCGTTCCCACGCTTATCGGTCATAGCGTTTGTTTGACCATACTTCACCATCCCGGTCAGTGCAAGGTTGGTGATGCGACCGGGCTCAAACATCACTCACCACCGACGTTAGCCGCTTGCCAGGGATTTAACTCGGGTCACCGGGCTTGTAGTGCCACCTAAGGGCCATTGAACTACACAGCTCTTTTTCAGAAGCGACCTGGCCACAAATGATAGCTCAACGAAGTGGCTTATCGCGTGAAAATCTTATAGCAGCCAAATACTCTTAATTCGTGTTTGTAAATGTGGAGGGAAAAACCGGAGGACTCGGAAAATAATTCGTGCAACCGCAGGGAGATAGACATGAAAACCCTAAATATTCACATTCTTTGCGTCTTTCGGTAAAGCCACGTAGATCGAAAAAATAACAAAAATCTAAATCACGACATTTCGATCGCAATACAAGCAATCGTCTTCACCTGAAGTGGCTTTACCGAAAGACCCAAAGAATATGAATTCCTGCAGTCACGAAAGCTTTAAGCCTAAATATACAGCTTAACACATGGGCTTCCACGACTAATATTATAAATAAGAGTTTTTTGGGTTTGATCAGGAGGATTTTTCCCCAGAACTCTGGCTGTGATCTGATGAGGCTGGTTGTAATTACCGGCGAAACGTCATGGTACTTGAATTGTAAATATTGTGGGTTTACTCTCCAACTAGTCACAAACTGCATGTTTTGTTTACGTGACAAACCTTGCTAATTGGCTATGTCGGGTGGTGGGTTTAACGACACAATTATATGTACGCCATCTACCCAAAACCTTTCTATTATCAAAATATACAGGCGTCAGGATCGGGATCGGGATCGAACCCACGACCTTCTGTATACCAAGCGAGGTAGTTAACATCTCGCCACCGCTCCACCCCTCCACCCCATGTAAGTGGGCACCCCCTTCAGTGTAACGTTAACGCCCCATCGATACCACCTGAGCCCCAGGACCACCCCGCACAAGTGTCTACTTTGGAAGAAGAAGAAAAACCAAGAGAATAACATTCCCAAAAACGTTACATGTGCAGCGTGCCGCTCAGTGACAAGAGCAGCGATGTACGTTGCGCACGCCAAGTGACCTAATTGCTTCCCTGCCTGCTTCTGGAAAGAACGACGCTGGCAATTAGGGGGCAAAGTATTCGTGCACGTCCCCACGTCTTCTATTTGTGGATGAGTTCTCTCCTCGCCAACTGACTCGCACAGTAAACTGTGACCGCTTGGAAACGGGGACACTTGTTTATGCTATTTGCAAACATAAACAGACACAGCAGGGTGAATGAGATTACCAATAGAATCATTGCACGTGCTGAGTCATCCCATGTGCAATCTGCCCTGCCAGCCGGGCTCTGCCATGGGTGGAGAAGTTACGTTGGCCGATGCAGGTTTTCTCCGCAATGTTTGTCGCTGCCTGTCGCCTGATGAGGCTGGTTGCAATTACTGGCGAAATGTCACGGCACTCGAATTGTAAACGTCGTGGGTTTACTCTCCAACACAGAACCGGTGAGTGCTGAACTAGTAACGAATTGGCACGTTCTGTTTACGTGACAAACCTTACTAATTGGCTATGTCGGGTGGTGGTGGTGGGACATTTATATTTACGCGATCTAACCCAAAATAACCTCTATTATGCTCTTTGGTTCTTTCGGTAAAGTCACGTAGGTAGAAAGAAAAAATAAATGTATCACGACGTTTCGATCGCAACACAAGCGATCGTCCGAAGGCGGAAAAAGAATCCAGCAGTGGAACTGCTGAACCAGGAAGAACACAGCGAGACAGCCGCTACAACAAGAGGTTATATATGTTGGCCAAGGGCAAGCAGGCGGGGTCCAAGCTGGAAAGGAATCCCATCCCCGCACGCAAGCACATCAGCTGTTTCGATTTAAAGCTTCGTGACTGCAGGGATTCATCTTCTTGGTTCTTTCGGTAAAGTCACGTAGAAGGGAAGTAATAAAATAATAAAAATAAAACATAGTAAAATAATTCTCACGACGTTTCGGCCACAGGTGAAGACCAGGTCTGTCGGGGAGACGCTGTCTCGGCTGCTTGCGTTGTGGCCGAAACGTCGTGAGAATTATTTTATTATGTTTTATTTTTATTATTTTATTACTTCCCTTCTACGTGACTTTACCGAAAGAACCAAGAAGACACATCAGCTGTGTTAATGGGGGAGATTAGGGGGAGAGAGATGAGAGTACCGTCGCCGCATATGGACAAACAAATGGCGTAACATCTTCAGGCTCTCAACTTGGCCGAAACCTCAAGAAACCAGGCTGCCTATGGCACGCTGATGTGGCTATGAAACGTGTGTATGTATGTTTGTTGAACTTCTTTCGCACCGTACGTAGCCAACCGTGCTAGTCGGAGGTGCGGAGGAAGGACAACAAACTAAACACGAAGCAGTTCTAAAGAAATGAGCTTTCAATTTAGTGGACCGTGGCAATCGAGGTTTAACTGAGGCATGCCGGTGTGGCCATGGCACGGGATTAAGAAGATTACCACCTCTGAGGTTCAAAAACTTGGCCATATAGGAAGCAGGTTATCTCACAATATCAGAAAAGGAGAAAACTACATGAACACGCATTGACTTGAATTACACAACTGACAAAACTGGGAATTTAATGTCCATGGAAAGGCTTACAGATCTCCCATAACAGCAGTGTTTACAAAAGTTACACGGATGATCCCGTTTAGCCAGTTGCCGGCTATTGTACAAGGGAGATCCGTGTTGCGTGAGCACAGCGACAACAGAGGACGGTCCTGGGAAAACTAGGGCAGGTGGCAACCCTAGCCACCGTGTACGTTGTGAACTTACCTGGTGGTGTGCCAGCCTGAGACGTGCCACATGACGGGAGTGGAAAGGGTGTGGACCGAGGGGACAGACCTGGAATGAAGCAGACTTCTTTACAGGCAAAGCAAAGCAACGGTGCAGGTCAAGTCATGCGGACGGGGAGCCAGCGAGACTGGTGAGGTTCTCTGCCCATCCCTTCCCCCGTGTCCCCATGCCCCCATCTCCGTGTGCCCATGCCCCTATGCCCTCGTGCCATGTCCCCCGTGTCCCCATGCCCCCATCTCCGTGTGCCCATGCCCCTATGCCCTCGTGCCATGTCCCCCGTGTCCCCATGCCCCCATCTCCGTGTGCCCATGCCCTCGTGTGCCCCCGTGTCCCCATGCCCCCATCTCCGTGTGCCCCTGCCCTCGTGTGCCCCCGTGTCCCCATGCCCCCATCTCCGTGTGCCCATGCCCTCGTGTGCCCCCGTGTCACCATGCCCCCATCTCCGTGTGCCCATGCCCCTGTGCCCTCGTGCCATGTCCCCCGTGTCCCCATGCCCCCCGGTCACGCACCAGGCGAGGACGCCGCCTCGGAGAGGCTGTGCCGTGATCGGCGGCCCGGGCGCGCCAGGAAGCGCTGGCTGGCACGCGACGCGTCCTCCAGGAGCTGCAGGTTACGCCGATGCTCCTCCTCGGCGAGCAGCGGCTCGGGCAGCTCGTCCCGGAGCAGGTCCAGCACTCGGCCATCCTCGTCTCACGCGGCGAGGGGGGGGGGGTTCGTGGACAGAGAGGGTGTGGGCGTCAAACGGGGGAGCGCCGATCGCCGCTCGTGCCACGATCAACGAACGGGAGGTACGGGTTTCAGAAGCCGATCATTGTAAGTGTTCTTCGTTTGCAAGAAGATTCAAGCTGTGGAGCATGATGAGTAACTCTGAAGAACAAAAAAAAGACAACAAATATTTGTGAATTGCTTCGTTTCACAAATACCGTTGTGACCCTGTGTGTGAACTTTGCATATCGAGTGTGGGGAGCGGTGGCGCAGTGGTGAGCGCACTGCGCTATGGAACCAGCGACCCGAGCTCAATTCCCACTCACCACCAAACAGTGACAAATATATGCATCGATGCTGAGCATCCCCTAGGCCGTCTCAGCCTTAAATGAGTGCCTGGGTGTGGTGTGTAAGCATCAGCACTGGCCACCCAACCCCGTTGTGTCCCGTGCAAGACGTAATAGGTGCTCGCTTAGAGCACTTGTCGAACCAGCCTGTTAGAGGCTATACGGGGTATATTTGCCATTGTGTATCAAGTGTTTCGTGGTGTAGGCTGCGGCATATTGCTCGTTATTAGCTGTGCGTTCCGTCGACTCCAGGTCAGCGCTCTTCACTGCAAGACCCGCGGGCCACTGGCGGCCCCTGATGTGCATCCCCCGACACAACATGTCAACACCCCCCCCCCCCCCCCATCATCGTGGTGCTGCCAAACCCCCCAATGGTTTCAAATGTGTGGCCGCCCTCACGCTGATGATGTCTTATCGGCGCAAGTGAAAACGAGCGGTGAACACTGCCTCGGGTGATTTGGCAGTGCCCCTAAAGGCACGGGAGAGAATTGTATCCGCCGTGAAACGAGGAGCTTTGAAGTACCTGCTGTCTTACCGACAGAGGTGATGGAGCTGGCCGTCGAGGAACGAGACAGGCGGATGGAGCGCCTGTGGTTGAAGCTGTGAGGCCTGCGGGGAAGAGGGGGAAGAGCAGTTCGCAGGCAGCGTTCACGGTCGGTGTCCGCGGCATTATCGACAACATTTCATCCATCGCTCGCAGAAGTATGACAGGGTCGTGACACGCAAATCAACACCCGGCTCCCGCTGAACTTGATTGCTTTGGTTTTTTTGTTTCAAGAGCCATTAAAGAGCAGCCGCTGAAAGAGCCCACACACTATACGTCAGCTCTCCAGGTTGTGAGCACTTTATTAAATGCACATTTCTGTTAAAAGTGCAACATGGATCTAAGTCGTGTGCCCTAGAGCTGACGACTGTAACCTCTGACCTATTGTACGCAGAGAGCTGAGAGAGATGGCCACTTCTAATGACTTGAAATGGACTTTCGAACGATGTGTAAACTGGTCCGTTTATTCGACATGAACGTGGAAGGTCACTTTACGTAACCTTTGACCGACTGTAACTAACACACCTTTCTAAGGTTGCTTGAGCAGCTTGTATACGTGATAAGTTTACCAAATCTTATAACTTGGGGTGGCAATACCATCGTAAGGCGTACATTCCACACGTGGAATTGCTTAAGAGAAAAGTGTGCTCACATCACAGAATCGTTGCATACATTACACCGCAATCACTCTGCAAGCATGCACAAGTTGTTGTGCTCATAAATAGCAGCCTGCTCATCCTTTGGACATGTCCCTCAACCACCACCACCACTCCTAACTCCCCTCCCTCGACCTTCCCACCAGTCAGCCAGCAAATGTTGTTTCTGACATAGTGTGATATAGATCTCTAACTTACTCACCAGTCTTCTACCCAGTGAACATGGAACGTTGGGCCAACGTTGCGTCAATGCCGGTCCAATGGTTACAACCACACGTGCCATGATTGGCCCAGCGTGAACCACAATATCATTCATAATAGAGGGGTTTTTTGGGGGGGATTAGATCGGGTAAATATAAATGTGTCATTAAACCAGCCACTAGCCGACACAGCCAATTAGTAAGGTTTGTCACGTAAACAGAACATGCCATTTCGTTACTAGTACAGCACACCGGTGTGTTGGAAAGTAAACTCACAACATTTACCTTGTTTGAACCACCAATAACCTCGCTGATCTCGTCAAAGACCATAAACCATCACGCAGGTCATCCTCGCAGCAGCAGAGCCTTTTGGCTGACTATCGAACAAAGACGGTCACCGCATCGTGCGCTTTCAGATGTGCTTCTGCGGCCGTCTGGCACGCTCTTCCTTCCGATATTAGGAAGCCACTGGAGCTATGCACTTGTAAATCAACTAGATTTAAAACTCATTCCTTTTTAACTGCTTTTTGTGTTTAGTTTGCTGTCTTTCCCCTGCACCTCTGATTAGCACGGTTGGCTATGTACGGTGCAGTAAACGTTGCACGTTGACTGAGTCTCTAGTGTTAATCGTGTTGAACACTGCATGTCTTCATGCTGCTAGAGGATAGTTTGCAAGTTTCTGATCCTCACTAGAGCTGTCGCTACTTGAAATTTGCTCGTGGTACAGGATGAATCGTCTTAATGAGGATTGCTTCGATATAATCTTTCACAACGTAATACGAGAACAATGTGAACTTTCGCGACATGACCTGGTCTTTGCGATACCAGTTACCATTAACTCTGCGATTGTACTTCGCGAATGTTTTCCAGCGTTTGCTCGTGCATTGCTGTACGAGTCTGGCACAAGTAAAGATCGCAAGTCAGCTCCTGCAACTCGAGTTCACTCCACTTGGGTCTGGCATGAGACAATCTGTGACTTGTATAGAACGCACGTGCAGTCAGCTATGCGAGAAATAAGTAGGCGATAACAGCCTATAGTTACGCCGAATTTTTTTTTTGCTGAGGACGAATGAATAGGCAAAGGCAGTAGTTATTTATTTACAACTTTTAATTCATGTGCTTTTTTTGCTTTCGATTTTGTAAATGTGTCGTGAGGAAAGAAAGGGATGGGGAATACGAGATACGACCAATGGTAATCAAGATAAGGCGATATTTTAAGAAAACGGACGATGCAATTATCGCGGAGCTTACATCGTAACAACACGTACCCCAGAATCGCTGCGCCGCCACGACGCTGTTACTTAGTCCACGGGCGACTCTCGCGCCGGCAAACCGTTCCACCGCGAGCACGGCTTTTTGGCGAAACAATTCATTTACGATTTCAATCGATATGCTTCAGAAGAGAGTTGTTGTTTTGTACTTACTACGGCTCTTGTGAGGTTTAAACCGTGAGTAGGGGGAAAAAAACACACACACAGGCGAGCTGGATTTTAAAAAAGAGTGCCAGGAATTAATCCGGGGCGCCGAACCGAGTCAACAGAAGTCGCGTTCAACAAATCCGCGAGGGAAGGTAAAAAAAAACCCAGCGCATGCAAGGCATGAGGTGGATGCGCTCACATTATTTGAGCCTTGCCGCTCGTGTCGATGTCGGGCGAAGCATCGGAGGCGTCCGATGGACTGGACGGCGTCGCGGTTCCTGGAGGCAGCCGGCTGCGGGCCCCACACTGCGCGGGGGCAGCGGAACAACGCAAGGGGGGGGGGGGGGGGTGTAAGACGCTCGTTCCTCGCACGCACAGGAACCTCTCTGCAGGCAACGTCGCACGTTCTAGCTGAGCGCAAGCCGCCCCGGCGCTCGCGAGGGCAGCTGTACGAGCCGTCAGAAGGCTCGTCCACGAGAATGTTTGGAGTTAATCACTGCCACAGCAATGAGGCTGCCAACTTTATTTTCCCACAACCCAAGTTTCCGATCGTGGCACGCGCACACGTTCATACATTTGTAAATGTTGTGTATTGATTTGAATCAGAATCTTTCATAATCTGTCTCCTCTAAATATTCCTTCTCTTGTGGTTTGCTTCTACCACTGCGACAGGATGTATAGTAGGCAAGTACAGTCTCTGATTTTGCCAAAAACTGAAAATAGACGCATTGCCAATTGGCAGTCACGTTAGGAACGGCTAATTCTATTTTCAGCCCGAAGCTTTGAAAATTAAATGTAACTTTCAGTATTGCGTAATATCAAGCTGGAATTGTCTCCCAAGCGTGAGGTACATTCTCGAAATTAGAGATGAAGCTTCGACAGATTTGAAAAAAATAAGAATAGGTTTTACCCTTTCTGGCAATAAAACAGGTGTGAAGATCTTCTTGGTTCTTTCGGTAAAGTCACGTAGAAGGGAAATAATAAAATAATAAAGATAAAACATAATAAAATAATTCTCACGACGTTTCGGCCACAACGCAAGCAGCCATCTATAGGTGAAGAACAGGTCTGTCGGAAAGACAGTGTCTGAATGTTCTTCACCTGAGGACGGCTGCTTATGTTTTATTTTTATTATTTTATTATTTCCCTTCTACGTGACTTTACCGAAAGAACCAAGAAGATGAATCCCTGCAGTCACGAAATCTTTAAATCGAAAGGTGTGAAGATGTTCAAACACCTAATAGAAACTCTTTGCAAGGAATTAAGTCTGCATTAACCACATGTACTTGTGGTGAACATGCAAACAAACATGGTTTGATAAAAGATGCATTGTCTTTTAAACTGATTGGCCTACACCACAAACAGCCTTCGTTAGGGTCTAGTCTCATCACCAGTGTTCGACCAGAGAATGCCAAAAGGCGAACAGCACAAAGACAATGCACTCAGGGCATTGATAGCTCGGGGTGAGCAGCTTCAAAATGGGGCCTTTTTTGGCACTATCAAATACTGACAAAAAAGGTCCCATTTTGTAGCAATGTTCTCATATTCCCGCCAAGTTATTTAAAAGTCCCTCTTAAGACGATTCAAGTCGGCCGTGAAATTCGTGACCAAAATGCACACACGTTCCATTTGACATGGCCCCTGTGATGTTACCGGCCTAGAGTGAGGGCACGCAAAGGGTGAGGCGGTGACAGAACAGGGGTAGCAGGAGAGAGGGGTGGCAGGGGACGGGGTGGCAGGAGACGGGGTGGCGAAGGGACGGGGGTGGTGTAGGGACAGGAAGTACTGCGGAGGAGGAGGATAAATGGTGGAGAAGGGTGTGGGAAAGAGGGGTCGGCTGCGTGAGAGATGGGGCGTCGGGGATGATGGGAGGGTGGGAAAGGATAATAATAAGCGCAGGAGCTGGGCGTGGAGACGTGAGGAGGAAACCGTGGAGGTGACCGCCAGAGGAGGCGAGCGAGAGTCTACCCTGGGGGGCAAGGAAGAGCATGGGAAGTCGCATGAAACATTTAAATGGGCTCTGTTTACATATTTAGCTGTGGCAGATACACAAGCAACACCAAACATTTAGATATAAACATTTCTCATGAAATTTGTTTGATTTAGCCAGGGGTTTGGCTTGGCTCGGACGTGTGTTTAATTGGAGTGACTTTTGGAAAAGCATTAATAACCGCAAATGTGGTGCCAACGGAGGGTTCTAGAAATAAAAGCCCAAAAACATTTATACTGCGGAATTTGTTGTTGCTGTTGTTGTGACAACGGAGAATGGACAGGTGCTGGCGAAGGCCGGCTCGCAATTGCGTTTGTAATTGTGAAAATTATGTCAACATCAAAATCCGAGCAGCAGCGTGGAGCAGTTTAAGATGCCAGCTGTGACGGGCAGCGTGACCTCAGCTCATGTCGCCCCCGACTTCAAATCCCGCGTCCAACCACCAACACTGCAGCTCTGTTTGCTGCTCTCCTCCCAATGCCCCGACTCTGAATTCCCTCCCGTCGTCTCTTCATTGACCCGAGTTTCTCACGACCTTGCTCAATTCAAGAAACGCCTTCAAATCTTTTCTACTACACCTTCGACGGCGTTGTGCCGTTTTGGCGTGTTTTGTGGCCTTTTTAAACATTTATTGAGGCAATGTGCGAGCCTGTTACATCACGTTGTGACGCACGTGACAACACCGTCAACTTAAGCTAAACCGGTTATGAAAAGCAAGAGATAGAAAGATGGGGAATGGACTCGCTGCAACAAACAATACGGGGGGGGGGGTCCCACGGAAAAGGGTAAAAAAAATGTCTAAAGTAAGGAGGAAGGGATGACAAGGGGAGAGAGAGGGAGATAACTGAAACACGACTGACATAAAAAAAATAAAAACATAGGAGGCGACCTAAAATGCCTTCATTATTTCTACCCCTCCGAATCTTTTGTGGCCTTTGTCGCGCGTTGCCTGTGCTCGAACCATCGTTGACATCGAAAACAAACAAACATTGTACCCTCCGTGGCCGCCATCTAGAGATGCACGTGCATTTACCAGGCAATTAACCCCGTGCTATTTTTCGCCGCGCAGGCTGCGGTCCTGGCAAATGACGCGCGGTCACGAGCATTGCCTCGGCGGTCCCCAGGGCCACCCCCCGCCCCCGATCGCTGCTTGCGGCCCCATCGCCGTCGTCGCGGCAGCCGCCGTGCGTCTCTGCGAGTTTTGCGCGCACCGCACGCCCCAGCTACTTGATGGGCGTGTCTCACGCGACGTGGAGAGCGACGATTAAAATTAGGGGGGGGGGGGGCGTTCGCTGAGCTACGTAGGACTCGCACATGCGTGCGGACTCGCACATGCGCGCAGGCACGCACGTGGGAGCTGTGCATGTGCGCATGTGTGCGTGTCCAGGCTTGTCATCATTTCCTTTCCTGGTGATGTCCCACGTTTGTTGCCCCTTTTTTCCGTCTTCTCCCACCATCCTCTCCCTTCCTGCCCTCGGCGCTCCGTGTTTTATGGCGTGCACTCTAAAGCGCTCCGAGAAGCTTCGGCATTTTGGCACCAAACACGTGCAAATCCTCATCCTCCTTAAATGTGTTGATTCCAGGCACTGCCCCTCCTGAATTCAGAGCCAACAATCACTTTTAACTTCCAGCCTGAGATGACACACACCAGCGAGTGTCTGGACGACGGCATCATGGAATGTGCAGCGTGAATTCTGGACTCTGCGGAAAAAATGTTCCAGCCGGTGAGACCTGCGGGATGGTGCGGTCTGCAGTGAGAGGCCACCGTCCCGGCCTCCCACGGCCCTCTCACATCACCGCCTCGTCCTGAGCGTGTGCCTCAACTCTTTATCGTACACTTCCATTTCACAGCCTCCTAGTTTGGGTGGTGGGGAGGAACCCCACGTGTAGCCAAGTCGTGGTGACCACTTGTACGTACGTTCAAAGTTGGGCACACATTTGCGAAACTCTCAAACGCACAGAGACTGCGGCGTGGACAGGAGATGGGATTACCGCCGGTGGGTTCGTGAACCCATCTGTGTGCATCTTTGAGTTGTTATCCGCTTGTATTGGTGGGTGTTATCACGTGACCCTGGCGTGACCTGGGCAGGGTGTAGTGTGCCGCTTCCGAACATCGATGGGGCGTACTACGTGACAGCCGCGCTGTGTGAGTGCGGGGAGCAGGAGACCATGGAGCAAATCGTCTCCGGTTGTGAAGTGCGCCAGGGCGTGCTGGGCGGACTGGTTGCTGTTGCCCTGCACGTGCTGCAGGAGGAGGCTGTCACATGACTCTGTGTGGCTACGCGGGCTGACGACCACTCACGGAACATCGCCATACATATGAAGTTAATTCAATCATTGTCTTGTCTACCCCACTCCTTAAAAATGGAGCACGACTGCTCAAACAAACCCCGAGCGATCCTCCCAAAAAAGTCCCGAGACTCGGTGAGGCTCTCCCAAACGTTACCAACCGGCAGCGCGCCGCTGACAACGCAACGCCCTACGCCCTGCGCTTTACCAACGATGGACCGGCCTGCATCATTGCAGGGCCCACACCCTGCCTGGATTGAAAACTCACCGCCGCGCCTTCTGCGCCGTCGATCCTGTCGAGGCCGGAGCTGTGGGACACACTGGTGGCGCCGGACGACGGGAACGGAGGCAGCCACATGCCGGGGTGGAGGCAACAGCAGGGCTTGTCCATCACCTGCCGGAGTTGGCAACAAAACCGTTCGCTCCGCTCGCGGCGACCCGCTTCCAATGCCATACGCAAACCCCGCAAAAAGAACCGTGCAGAGACGACCAATCAGATGACGGGAGCAGAATAGGCTTTACCCTTTCTGGAAAAAATACTAAACAACAAATATTAACTTATTTTTTATTGTACAAGGTAAGGCCCACTGAGCTACGTAGCTCTTTTTAATAAGCGACCTGCCCACAAGCGATAGCTCCACGAAGTGGCTTATCATGTGGACTTGTGTACCTATGTGCGTGCACATGAGCGAGTATTTGCAGCGCATTTGTATGCTTATGTCGTGTACATGTGTGGAGTCGTTTTTTTATGGGGCCACAACACTTACTCAGTTAAAAAAGGCCTCAATAACAATGTGCATTGTCTGTTGATGTAAATACTTCCCACAAACAAAGTTATTTTTGTTGCCAGATAGAAGGGTAAAGAACCAATTATCATATTTTTACTGGCAAATGAGGTTCCCATAGTGTAGATGCTTGCCCCGAGCTCTCATACTCTGATGGTGCATTGTCCTTGAGTTGTGCGCCTTTTGGCGTCATCTGGTCCAACCCATATGAGACTAGGCTCTAAGGAAAGCTGTCTCGGGTGTGGACCAATCAACTTCAAGGACAGTGCACATTATCAGAGTTATGTTCTTTTGTTTGCATTATGACTGCAGGTATTGCGGTCTATGCAAACATGACTCCTTGCAAAAAGGTGTCAGTTTTGTTGCCAGATAGAAGGGTAAAGAACCAATTATCAAAGTTATTTTGGTTTAGCACATTGCCTTTTGACACCAATATTATTCATAATAATGGGTTTTTGGGTAACAATTGTAAACGTTGTGGGTTTACTCTCCAACACAGAACCGGTGTGCTGTATTAGTAACTAATTGGCACATTTTGTTTACGTGACAAACCTTACTGATTGGCAGTGTCAGGTGGTGGTGGGTTAACGACACATTTATATTTATAAGGGGCCGTCCATGAATGACGTCACGCGATTTTGGACGATTTTTGACCCCCCCCCCCCCCTAGTCACACGGCGTCACAAAAAGTCAGACCCCCCTCAAATATGACGTCACAAAGCTCTACCCCCCCCCCCCCCCAAAAAAAAACATGCTTCAATTCGCTTTAAACTATTATCATTGTAGTGCGTATTTAATGTGGCGCTGCACTCTGATGTGAACACATTTATTAAAAAGTCTATTTAATTAAGTAGAACGTGTTGTCTATATTTATTTAAAGTTGCACATTTTGATGTGACGTCACATTTCTCAACCGCCCTCCCCTCGTCACACATCGTCACAAATGTCTGACCCCCTCCCCCCACCCCAGGTGCGTGACGTCATTTATGGACGGCCCCTAACCGAACAAATCTTTATTACGAACAAAGTTACATTACCTTCACACCAAGAGGCAACGTGGTGGACATTGCGGTCTCATAGTCTACCCAGCGCTTGCTCGCTAGCGGCGGGGCCACGTGCCAGCGGAGCGTGATCCGTGGCGACTTCGCAAACAATTCCCACGCCTCGGGTACGAGCGAGCGAGCGACCCACCGACAACTACCAACGACGACGACAAGGGAAGCACGCTCACCTCGCTGGTCTGTGTCGCCGCGGAGACGCGCCGGGTCTTGGGCGCCTGGTGGCCCTCCCTGTGCTCCGTCTGCGTGCCGACACTGGGCGAGAGCGGTCCATCGTTAGGCACGACGGAAGCAGAAGGGCGACGCGTTGCGAACGCGGCCGCGGTCGCGGCGCGGTTCGCCCGGGCAGGAGGGGGGGTGGGGGGGCTGGTAAAGGGCTGAAGGTGAAGTCCATGGGCAGCGATCTCTGGGCCTTCCTTCCGTGACTGCCCACGGCTGTGTCATGAAGTCCCGTTCGGTGGCGATCTTGAAGTCCCGGCCTAACGGACATTTCTCTTTCAGGAGGCATTTTCCATTTAAACTTCGCAACTTCTCTCGCAACCTCACCGCCCCATTTTCAATGATGTCAAGTACCTTCAGATTATAAAAAGCTGTAATTATTATCATAATCCTTCACAACAAGTAACGGGGGGTGCGCCAACTCGAGCCTTGCATTGTAACTGCTGAACGACTGCACAAGAGAAACTCTGCCAAACCCGAATGTTTTAAATGCGTAAATCGACCAGTGCCGTGCATCGGGTCTGCGCCCCACACAGGCGGTCGTCACTGATCTCAACTTATTATTTATTTATATAGCACCTCGACCAATGCGCTGAACAAAGCATTAGCTCTTTGTACAGCAGAATAGTGTCTGATGAGGTGAGATGGATGCTAGTACATGATGATGCTTAATTAAATAGACGATGACGAAAGTGACAATGAGTGGTTCATGATGATGAGCGAGTGCGATGAATGGGTAGAGAAGTTGGGAAGAGGGGTGACGGTGTTAACGATGGAGAAGGGAGGGGGGAGGAGAGTTGGGGTAAGCGAGGGAAAGTAAGAGAGTTTTAAGGGAAGAACAAAATATGAAGAGTGAGGCTGATTGTTTGAGGTTAAGGGGCAGCTTGTTCCAGTGTAAGGTGGCCAGAAGCGAGAAAGAACGGAATGGTGATTGGGCACGAGGAGGAGGGGGGACAGAGACGGAGAGACAGCTGGGATTGTGAACACAGAGGGCGAGAAGGAGCGCAAGGACGAGATGAGGGAAGCGAAGATGATACGTTGGGGCCAGACAATGGAGAGATTTTAAAACCGGTGCAAATACGCCGATGGACACCAAATGAACGGATGAACAGGTCCAGTACGCAACTTATTGCGAGCGCTGGACAGAGGCCCTGGACAAGGACACTCGGATTCCTCGTGGGACCTTCCCTTACGCAGACAGGGCCTCGTTGTTTCATTGGCTGTGATAGCGCTGGTGACGAGGATCAAGTGAGCGAGTGGCTATTATTGTGCGCTATGTTGAAGTCGCTCTGTGACGTAAACTTCCGGAATCGGGGGGATGATGATGATGATGAGATGGTGTGTTGCTCCATTCACTGTGGAGTCGTTTCGACTCCACATCGTGAGGGCAGCGGGTCAACAGCTCTTCAGTGGCCGATGGCCTCCCCAAGCCTTCAGGTCACGAGGGTTATTTGACCACAGTGGTCAGTGCCGGTTGATGGAGGGGGGTAGCATGGACGAGGACGCGCACATGTACGCAGCCACACACGGATTGTGCTGGACTGCCTCAGCGTGCATTGGAGTCACTATGTCAACGATTGCATTGCACGGACGAACACCTGCCTTAACAATCCGCAAATGAAAACCCGGAACTAAGGTGAGAACCGTATTAGTCGCCTCGCGTGAGACAACTTTTAAAGATAACATCGTTGATTACTTAGCGCGGAGAAATCCTGCCGCTCGGTGTGCCACTTGCCTGAGCATCACTGGGTGTCCGAGGCCAAAACGTGACCACCCTCAGTGGTGCAATCTGAAGGCAATGACCCAATGTTTCTATCGTTCTGGCAAGGACTACAAATAACACATTTTTATTTTAGCAGGTAAGGCCTACTGAGCTATGTCGCTCTTTTTCAGAAGTGATCTGGTCATCACAAATGACAGCTCAACGAAGTGGCTGATCACGTGGAAATTTATAGCAGCCAAAATCGCACGTTGTTGATTCTAAATGTGGAGGGAAAAACCGGAGGACCCAGAGAACAATCCAGGCGGCCATGGAGAGAGAGACACGCAAACTCCAAATATACAGCAGGCATCAGGGTCGGGATCGAACCCACGACCTCCTGCATACCAGGCGAGGTAGTTAACATCTGGCCACCGTGGCACCCAAAAACAACACGCACTAAACTTTGAAGCAGAAGCCAATTAAGAAAACGTGTTACAAAACAGGCAAGGGGTCGTGGTTGACAGGGCCCAGGCATGATTCGAGCATTCAACTCCCCCTGGTGATCCAATGAAATGGATCGGCACATTTAGGCTTTAAAATGTTTGTGTTTACACTGCGGTGAATCGAATCAGCTGCACGGGGCTAGGCAAACCCGTTAACACAAAATAAAAAAACGTTGATTCTCACGCACGCGAACCCCGCACCTGCCTCGTTATTCAACGAATCGATTCATCCGTCGTTCCAGCCCTAGTGTTCGCTTTAGTTTGGCGGCAACTCCGTGATGCGACGCGTTCCTCTGTGGACCGACGGAACGCCCAGAATGCTGTTCCTCTGCCTCATTGGCCGTGCCCGTCGGGTGCTCACCGAGCTGCACTGGCTTCCAGTTGCCGAACGAATTCGTTACCAGGTCACACTCGTTACACACAAACTCATTGGCCACAAGTGGACCGCAAGACTCGTCAAGCAGCATGAACCATCACGTGGACTTCGGTCATCCTCGCAGCAGCGGCGGCTTTTGGCTGCCCGTCGAACAAAGACGGCCACCGCATCGCGCGTTTTCAGATGCGCTCTTGCGGCCGTCTGGAATGCTCTTCCTCCCAACATTAGGAAGCTACTGGAGGTGTGCAACTTTTAATTCCAGATTGAAAACTCATTTCTTTCGAACTGCTTTTTGTTTTCGGCTTGTTGTCCTTCCCCCGCACCTCCGATTAGCACGGTTGGCTACGTACAGTGCGAAAGACGTTCAACATACACACATTACGCGACTCAAGCAGCAAACCTGAGCTGCAGCAACAACAAAAAACAACCATCTCCATCCCTATTAACCAGTCTCTACGCACTACTGGATCAACACATTTGGAGTATTTCTCCTGCAGTACGCACTGGACATCCATGATTCAGTGAGGCTGGCAACGACCTTCTTTCATTGGGTTGTCGGCTGCCGTGTGATTTTACGATCATTTTCCAATGACGCATTTCGCATGCTCGTTAGTGGGTTTCGTGTTCCTTGGCGTGCTGCGGATATTTATTGTAGAATAAGCACTTTAAAAATAGAACTGTCATTATTTTCTTCAAGATGCAAAACACCTTTGGCAGGCACCGCACGGAATTTACACTAAACATGGATACTTTGGCTGCTTTTTGTTTTCTTGCGGTAAAATTATTTTCCTCCGCCGCTGTAACGGGAAGGGGTCTGTCGAGAGGAGCCACACTGAGGGGCGTCACGGTGACGCGGAGACCGCGGGGTCAGAAGACACGAGGAGTGGGGGGGGCGGTAGGATGGTTGGAGGGGCGGGGGGGGCGGGGGGGTGGAGGGGGCAGGGGGTGCAGGAGGTGACGGGGTGGGGGGAGTGGGGGGGGCGGTAGGGTGGTTGGAGGGGCGGGGGGGCGGGGGGGTGGAGGTGACGGGGTGGGGGGTTGGGGGACGGGGGCAGTGGGGGGGTGGGGGGGGGCAGGGGGTGCAGGAGTTGACGGGGTGGGGGGTTGGGGGGCGGGGGGAGTGGGGGGGTGGGGGGGCAGGGGGTGCAGGAGGTGACGGGGCGGGGGGAGTGGGGGAGGCGGGGGGAGTGGGGGGGGGCGGTAGGGTGGTTGGAGGGGCGGGGGGGTGCAGGAGGTGACGGGGTGGAGGAAGTGGCGGGGGGCGGTAGGGCGGGGGGGTGGGGGGTTGCGGGGGGTGCAGGAGGTGACGGGGCAGAGGGAGTGGGGGGTTGGGGGGTGGGTGGGGGGCGGGGGGAGTGGGGGGGTAGGGCGGTTGGAGGGGTGGGGGGGTAGGGCGGTTGGAGGGGTGGGGGGTGCACGAGGTGACGGGGCGGGGGGTTGGGGAGTGGGGTGGAGGGGGCTTGCTTACTGCTGGTAGGGCCAGGGGGACGTCGCGTGGCGGCCCCACGGCGAGGGAGGCCGGCGTGGGTGCAGGCGGCGGGGGTGAGACGGCCGCAGCTGCGGGTGCGTCTGCAGCAACTCCAGGGTGAGCGCGTCTGTGCGGGGCGGGCGGGGGGAACGCGACACCGTCGGTTAGCACGGCTGGCTGAGCACGGTGGGTGCGAAAGAAGTTCAACGTGCACATAGAGACATACACACACACATAGAGACATACATACACACACACATAGAGACATACACACACACATAGAGACATACAGACATACACACATACATAGAGACATACATACATACACACACACACATAGAGACATACAGACAGACATACACACACATACATAGAGACATACATACACACACACATACATAGAGACATACATACACACATACATAGAGACATACAGACACACACACATACATAGAGACATACAGACAGACATACACACACATACATAGAGACATACATACACACACACATACATAGAGACATACATACATACACACATACATAGAGACATACAGACACACACACATACATAGAGACATACAGACATACACACATACATAGAGACATACAGACACACACACATACATAGAGACATACAGACATACACACATACATAGAAACATACAGACACACACACATACATAGAGACATACATACACACACACATACATTGAGACATACAGACATACACACACACATACATAGAGACATACAGACATACACACACACACACATAGAGACATACAGACATACACACACACATACATAGAGACATACAGACATACACAGAAGGGAAGGCTCCATTTGTATACAATGACTATGGGTGGTCATGTGGATTTTTGGCTGCGATAAATTTCCACGTGAATAAGCCACTTAGTTGAGCTATCATTTGCGGCGAGGTTGCTTCTTAAAAAGAGCTACGTAGCTCAGTGGGCCTCAGCTGGTAAAATAAAAATAGTTTATATAGACGAGGTTAGCGTTGGTTTATTTCTTGAAAAAAAAACATTCTCCCCGCTAGAATGAGTGTTAGGTGCGATGCTCATAGCACCACTGAGCCGAGCCAGTGGGGGTTAACCCCACGTTCCTTTGATCAATCTCTTCATTGCTTGCAACCTGGGTGGTGGGCTGAGTCGACCCCGAGCAGGGGTTGAACTCGCACCGTCCTGGGGTGCGCCACGCAAGCCACGCCGCGCTCACGAGAATTTGACAACAACAAAAACGGCCTTTCAGACCGAAGATTAATTCCGTGATGGATATGAAATGTTAAAACCTGATCAAATTGCTACACCTGCTGTGTGCGTAAGTGGCGTCGCGAATCGGTCTAGAATGAAAGACGCTGCTCGGAATGGTAATTCATGAATTTCACGCATTCCCAGTATATTTTACATCTCTAAGCAGTGCCAGGAGAATGACCAAGACAAGCAGCTATCGCTAACCCCAACTGCAGGCGATGATTGTGGCCTCACCAATTGATCGGTCTTGATGCCAACTAAAGGATGGTGGCGATAAGAGGCTCATAAATGTCAAGTTCTCAACACATAGGGTGAGGGAATAATAATTGATCTCCGCTGCACAGTCTTCTTCTCTGCTCGCTCGCGAAGGGAGAGAGAAGTATTCGGAGGCGCGAGGAGGAACCACGGACGAGCGGGGAAGGAGGCAGTAGCGACGCATTGGGCCCTCGACAAATTCCACCCCCAAGCTCTGCGGTCCTCTACTTACGAAGGTGATATCGCCCAATTAACGAGCATTGACACGTGTGGGCAGACACCCGGAGAAAACCCCGTGGGTACGTGTGCACCAAGGACGCTCTGGGATGATGCACGGCGGCACCGGGCCAGGACAGTGCCGCGACAGGCAAATCGATGTTGGTCACAGACTACGGCTTTAGTTTCGGCACGCTGCAGCCTGAAGGCCAACCGCTGTCACTCAGTCGAGGCACAACGAGGCCCTGGAGTGCCGGGGGGGCTGTCCGGCACGAGCGTTCGGCTCTTTACCGGAGCCACGCTGCGTGTGGGGCAGCAGGGGGCACCGTGCTCTTGCGGCCAATTCAGTTGCCACGTCAATTTGCGGCCCCTTTGTCACTCCACTGTTGGATGAAGGCCTCTCCATGCAATGTTAGTCGTGCCAGCTGTTTGACCATACTTCACCACGCTGAGGTTAGTGAAAGCGGGGGGTGGGGGGTGGTCGAGGATTGGTTCAGATACCACTTGTCACCGACGTGAGCTGTGGCCGGGTATCGAACTCAGACCACATGCCCCCTACTCCACCCATCCTCCTTTGGATTCACAATCGGCATGGGGGTGAAGGCATGAGCGGCGTCACGCGACAGCATCTTGAAGTGCTGCGCGGGGAGAGTGATGGTGGGCGCAGGGCCCCGGAGAAGAGGAGGCAGCGGGTTTGATCGGCGTGTCGGTGACTCCACCACACAGCGGGAGACGTGTCCGCGACGTGCCCACGACGTTCCGCGCCGCGCCCGCGCTGGAGACGCACCGATGAGCGGCGTGTCCCAGGGCCGCGGGCCGACGTGCGAGGCCAGGCCGGAGCAGTCCCGTAGCTCCAGCGGGCAGCAGGAATGATGGGAGCAGCCCGCGGCGAAGCCCTCCACTCTGCCCGGCCCAACGCAGCGTGACTGCAGCTGCTTGCGAGGAGGGGAGGAGGAGTAGCGGGGGGGAGGGGGGGGTGGGTGAGGAGGGGGAGGGGGGGTGGGTGAAGAGGGGGAGGAGGGGGGTGGGTGAGGAGGGGGGGAGGGGGAGGAGGAGGAGGAGGAGGGGGGTGGGTGAGGAGAGGGAGGAGGGGGGTGGGTGAGGAGGGGGCGGAGGGGGAGGAGGGGGGTGGGTGAGGAGGAGGGGGAGGAGGTGGAGGAGGGGGGTGGGTGAGGAGGAGGGGGAGGGTGGGTGAGGAGGGGGAGGAGGGGGTGGGTGAGCAGGGGGAGGAGGGGGTGGGTGAGCAGGGGGAGGAGGAGGGGGCGGAGTGGGAGGAGGGGGTGGGTGAGGAGGGGGCGGAGGGGGAGGAGGGGGGTGGGTGAGGAGGAGGGGGAGGAGGTGGAGGAGGGGGGTGGGTGAGGAGGAGGGGGAGGGTGGGTGAGGAGGGGGAGGAGGGGGTGGGTGAGCAGGGGGAGGAGGAGGGGGCGGAGTGGGAGGAGGGGGTGGATGAGGAGGGGGCGGAGGGGGAGGAGGGGGGTGGGTGAGGAGGAGGGGGAGGAGGTGGAGGAGGGGGGTGGGTGAGGAGGAGGGGGAGGGTGGGTGAGCAGGGGGAGGAGGGGGTGGGTGAGCAGGGGGAGGAGGAGGGGGCGGAGTGGGAGGAGGGGGTGGGTGAGCAGGGGGGTGGGTGAGGAGGTGACCAGGCATCAGCATCCCCACAGTTCGTGGAGCAAGCGTTCCACAATAATTTAGCAGGGAGGAAACATTTTAAATCTCATCTTATATCGCGACGGAATACTTTGATTTTTATGTGAGATAAATACGCAACGGAAATCAATGCGAAGGATTATTCCTTAACCCTTTATTTAGGTTTACTTAACGCTTTTACACTAACAGGTTTATTTGTTCGTGCATTTCATTTCATTCGCCCTTCTGCTTGCATTTTCTTATATTCCCTCAGGGTATCCTTAAAAAAGGGAGATTTGTGCCTGAGTGGGCTCGAGGCCTGGTAAAACAGGCCGACAGGGAGTGGTGGTTGCAGCGGTACTGGGCCTCCCCTAGGTCGACTCAGCCTCAAATGAGTCCCTGGTGGTGCATTGTATCAACATCGCTACTCGGGATACTGGCCACCCACCCCGTCGTGTGCCATTCCGGTCTTCATACGTGCTCGCTTACAGCACTTGCCCCAACAATCTGTCAAGACTAGACGGTGGATCTATGTTTTTTGTCAAACAGGCCTACGCTGCCCAACCTTGATATCACTAGGAGGCCGAAAGAGGCAGCAGTCATGGGCTGTCTCGCGAGTCCGATTCTTGATTCATCAAAACGAACAGCAATCTTTAAAAATGGGACCTTTTATTGCCAGCGAAATGACACCGGCGGCTGCGTACCAGGAGCCTCTTTATTTTTGACACAACCACAACACTGGGCCCGAGCTTCGTTCGTCTTCTTCTTCTTCTTGAAACTCGTCCCCTTTGATCCTTGTCGGGCCCCGCTCTCTCGAACTTTTCCCTCACTACTCTTTGATCCTTTCGGTAAAGTCACGTAGGTATCAAATAAATTCAATCACGACGTTTCGATCGCAACACAAGCAATCATCATCAGGTAGGAAACCCACAGCAAGAACATTGTTTTGCTGTGGTTTTCCCACCTGATGATGATTGCTTGTGTTGTGATCGAAACGTCGTGATTGAATTTATTTGATTCTATACCTACGTGACTTTACCGAAAAAACCAAAGAGTATGGATCCCTGCAATCACGAAAACTTCAAATCTAGATTTTTCCCCACTCTTTTTGTAACCGCAGCCAATCCGCATCCTTCTCCTCCAACGGTTTCCCAACCGTCGCCTGCGGCCTCCGCTCTGTTCTCTCGCCCTTTTCGCCGTTTAAACCTTTTCCCCTCCAACCTCTTCAAAGCCCTCCCTCCCGACCAATCATCGTGGAGGCCTCTCTCCGCCAATAGGAGGCCTTGGTCTACTTTTAAAAATTATGGTTTGGCTGCAAATTGGCTTGGGGTGAGTGCCTCATAATTTAGATCATTACACCAGTCTCAAGCCTATTCAAAGTATGAAAACATATGAATAGGCTTTATTGCGAGAAAGAGTAAACCCTATTCTTAATGTTTCAACAATATTGCACTTTTCTTGCTCCGCAACTGCGCCACAGTGCGCATGCGATGTCACACAACCATCAGCGGCATCGGAACATCGTGGACAGGCCGGTTCGCACATCTCCTTCATGAATGGAAAATTAAAGACGCAAGCCAGAGCAATGCAATTGTGGGCAAGCAACCCAAACCTACACAAACTCTCTCCTGAAGCCCTATCGTCATGGCTGACATATCTCGACATTGGCATTAAGCCGCAGAACCTATTGCCAGATGCAAGCAGAGAAAAGATCACAGGAACCAGTCACTACACTCAGGTAGAACATCATGTGCCCATGTATTAACCATGACAACCTTGATCATTGGTGGCGTAAGAGCTACTGAAAGCAACGCATTCACAATGGAAATGCTAATTTGTCACCGACGCTGCGTCTCAACTCACAAGGGTGATCAATAACTCTGATTATTCAAACACAATTATCCATGTACGTCGAGTAAACGTACCAGAATTGTTCCTTAATACAAAGAAATCCACCCCCGGTGTCGTGTAGAGTGATTAATGCCATCGTCGTCGTCGTTCTAAGAATTTACACCTCGGAGTAGGCGGGGGGCGGGGGGGTTAAGTCGCGCGATGCCTGGGTACAACGACCAGCTTCCCGCCGAGAGCTGCGATGTCGGCGGCATTGTAAACGTCATAATCACGGCCACACGGGGGATGTGAGAGGTGGTGGGGGGGGAGGGGGATAGATGGGCCTCACCGACAGGACGACATCGGGCTGACTCTTCTGCAGCTGAATGCTGAGGGAGCTCTTATCGGTGGCCACTTCCCATCCGGCTCCACCCTCCGCCTTCTTCGCGGAGGCAGCGGCTGACGATGATGCGGCGGTGGTGGCAGCCTGGCGGTGGGTGCGAAGGGAGCGTTCAGCAATCAGAGAAGAGATGGAGGAGGAGGGTGAACCCTCATGCCCAGGCAACGCTCTCCTGGTACTGGCGCGATGGTGCGTCGACCCAGTCTTTGGGTGAAGTTCATGGTTCGCAGAGCAGCGCAACCCTTTTGTGTTAAGGAAACGGCCCGAAGAAACGGATATCACAGAGCTACTTCTGAAATTACTTCGAATGACCCCTGGGGTCCACACGGTAGAGGGCTGCGCTTTGCTACCCGCTCTGCATATGAGAGTAATGTTCACTGAAAAAACAGTCGAACCTAAATGTTTATTCCCAGAGCTAAAATGTTGCCACATTAAGTGCAGAACCAATTTTAACTTGATCTTTTTTGTACGCAGCCATTAGTGACCGCGCTGTGGCCATCATCCACTCACTGCACTTGAGAACCGCGTTGAATCACAGGCGGCTGAAATCTGGATTGGGGCCTCAGTGGTGTCAGCTCAGCGTCCCGAACTCTGACCCACAGGACACGTGCGTTTGAGGATTTGGCTTTTCAATCAATTGACGTAATGGATTAGTGCGGCTCGTCCAGTCTCAAGAGGCTGCTACAGTAAATGGATAACTTCCTTCACGAATTAACTCTTGATTTAATTATGGCCCTGGATTGAGACAATTCACTGAATCTTGAGGAGGAGGTGGGAGCGGATCGTTGCACCCCGAGCGGAAACATAATGCGTCATTAACAACCCTTGGTCAATCCAATGCTGGACGAAGTCTTCCTCATGTCGTGCCAGGCATGGGGGTGGTTTGACCATACTTCCCCGCGTTGGCGAGTTTGGGCTCGTGAAGGGGAGCGGAACCCGTGAACCGGTTCAAATATCACTCGCCGGTGATGGTATGCCATGGCCGAGAATGGAACTCGGACCGATGGGTTTATAGCGAAGCGTTGCCAACCACTGCGCCACCATTTCACCCCACGAAACTTTACGCGCGTCTCAGGCCACGCACAGCAACTTCACAGCGACCCAAGTGAAGTTTTTTGTTAATAAACAACCACACACACATCTACATTGCAGACAGCATGAAGGCTTGAAAGATTCGCGGCCTCCGAGCGATAACAGAGTTCAAGGAGAATCTTTGGACAGAAAACAAGAAACCTTGATAAGAAAACATATCCATCGGTCTCGATTAAGTGGAAGAAACGCGGGATGCAAACTTCGCACTGGTACGGAGTGTTAACTACCTCGCCTGGTATGCGGGAGGTCATAGATTCGATTCCGATCCTGACGCCTGCTGTATATTTGGAGTTTGCATGTCTCTCTCTCCCTGTGGTTGCGTCGATTTTTCTCTGGGTCCTCCGGTTTTTCCCTCCACGTGTGTTAGAGTGTTAGAGTGTTAGAGTATATGACTGCTATAAATGTCCACGTGACCATAAGCAACTTAGTTGAGGTATCATTCGTGATGGCCAGGTTGCCTCTGAAAAGGAGCTCAGTGGGCCTCTTACCTGGTAAAAGAAAAGGAAGTGAGTGAATAATTATTAATAGTTGTGTAGTGACATCGGGGATGTCACTGTATGGTGGCGGCTCGGGAGGGCCATGGCGTGTGATGTCCCTACATCGAGGACAGCACCGGGTGGGTTGCTGTGTGATGTCAGCTATTGCACAGCAAGGCGTGCGATACACCGTCATCGCGTACACCCCGTAGGCGGGTGTAGTACCAGCCCTAGCGGGGCTTGGTGAGCGCTGGAACAGCGCAGGCACCATGCACAGCGCGTAGTGCGGGCTCCCACAAGGGGGAGAGTCTCAGCCCAGGGGCAGGGTTGCCCCGGGCCATGGCACTCTGGTTGACCCCGTAGACACGTGATCTGGAGTGTCCATAGAGAGGGCCCCAGGTGGGGGGGGGGCAAGGGGGTGATCACGTGTCCAGGGAGAGCTCTCGAGAGGGATGGAGAGGGAGCTAGAACTCTCTAGAAGGCAGGCGGGGCCAAGGGCGAAGCGGCCCCGACCCGGGGGGGGGGGGGGAGATATAAGGCGGGTCCCTGAGAGAGACCGGGGTTCTTCGTTCGACAGCTGGAAGCCCCACCTCTACAAGCTGGAAGCTCTACGTCTACAAGCTGGAAGCTCTACGTCCTACGAGGCATCAACACGTGGTCGGGGACCCGAGTGAGGGCCCGACCCTTGGCAGCTGTAACTCCTACGTATAGTCTAGTTAGCTGGGTGGTCACCACCTTAGGGGCAGTTACCCCTTCGTGTTAACGTGTTGATGTTATAATAAATGTGTTGCCTCTAAAGAACAACGTCTCCGACTCAGGTGGACTCACTACAGTTGTATTAGCACTGCATAGGTTTCCGCGGTTGTGCTGTGCAGCTGGCTGAGGTGCGAGCGCGTCGGGCCTTGTACAGGATGCTCGCCGCAATGAATCTCCGACGTTTCACTTGACGCGCTGCGTGCGACTGTGCGAGCCTCTTCTCCGATTACTGAATTCAGTTCCCGGGGTAAGAGAAACTCCCCCAAAGCTGCCGGAACATGGAAGTGAAACGTCGGACATGACGCCGAACAACGCGCAACGCCCAAACCCTTTCGTGGTGGTATCGGAGAACTCAAAGGGCTTTAACACGTAGTAGTAAGCTTTCGTGAGCAATGTCATCTATAATAAAGTTGATTTTGGGTTATATCGCGTCAATATAAATGTGTCATTAAACTCGCCACCGCCCGACATGGCCAATTAGTAAGGTTTATGTATGTGAAGTATTGGAAATGACGGCAGGAACTTCTTGACGGGTAACACACTTTTATTAAATCTTGACGTATCACAATACAACGTGTGGTCTCTATTCTTTTGACTATACACTCCACTGAACTCGTGTAGACTATCTGCTTCTGGCTACACACAATACACTCGCCTCGTGTAGACCCTATGCCTCTGGCTACACACAATACACTTGACTCGTGTAGACCCTATACCTCTGGCTACACACAATACACTTGACTCGTGTAGACCCTATACCTCTGGCTACACACAATACACTTGACTCGTGTAGACCCTATACCTCTGGCTACACACAATACATTCGCCTCTGGGTTACACAGAGTCCCGGTCCCGTTAGGACAGCGGGACTAGGTACCGCAGGGCCCTATCTCTTCGATCCCCGTCTTCATTCTTCGCTGGTTACATACTGCCCTTGCGCCTGTGTGCATCCCCTTTTATAGCCCCTGCTCACGGGAGACGGAGCTGATGCGGACGTCGACGTGAGCATCGCTCCTTAGTGAACCAATCACGACGCGCTCTCTCTACGATCCGTTTTCCCCAGCGCGTGTTAATACTACTCCACCACTCACACCGCGCTGCCACCCGATCACTCCCTCTCAGCGCGTCACTGGCACACAGCCAATCAGTACCCCGTAACCCACGACCCCGCGCTGACCCCTGATCCTCCACCGTCAGCGCGCGTCACCACATACACAGCCAATCATTACGCGCTGGCACACGATGCCTACCCCAGCGCGTATCACCACTACATATGTATATTACCAAAACATATATTTATTAGTTTGGTTAGTCACAGTTGATCAACATACATTACGTATCATATCCATTGTAATTTATAGGACTACAATAACCCCCCTACCCTCTAGGCATTGCACCTGATTGGCTCACAGTGACGACATCACATTAACTCCCTCTATTTAAGACCGAAACAGGAGGAGGATTTCTCAACAATTCTGGTTGTCGCCTGATGATGCTGGTTGTAATTACCGGTGAAACGTCACCGTACTCGAATTGTAAATGTTGTGGGTTTTACTCTCTAACACGCTGGTGTGCTGAACTGGTAACTAATTGGCACGTTCTGTTTATATGACGAACCTTACTGATCGGCTGTGTCGGGTGGTGGGCAGGTTTAACGACACATTTATATATACGCAATCTAACCCAAAAAAACCTCTAATATGGATGAAGGGGCTTTTACTGACCAGAAAACCGCAGCGGTGCCAAGTGCCACGGCCATTACCCACACAGGAAATAGCGGCGACGTCAAGCTTGGGCACAGCCTAAACCTTTTCCACTCAGCAAACCGAATCAGATTTTGTCTTTGCCAGCAAAACAAACGTTCAGCTCAAATGAGAGGTTTTAATATCGAGCCGAACGCTGTCCCTTTACTAAAGCCAGATGAGTGAGCCGATTGAGAGTCCGAGTCTCGTTGTCAAGGGAGACCCGGCTTACAGGGACAAAACAGCGCACGTAACGTGGGGATGGCACAACAGAAAAAAACTGGGTTTAAAATATTAAACTATAAAAATTTGCTTATCGTGACAAAAAAATCAAGCGTATGAAATGATACTCAGTGTAACATTTCCCGCACCACCGATTAACACGGTTGGCTACGCACGGTGCGAAAGAAGTTTAACGTGCGTACATAAAACAGAACTTAAATTCCAGTGAAATACATTTTAAAAGAGGGACAAGTTATGGTCCAAAGGCACTTGCGTTCACATATATTTAAGCAATGAGTTCAATTGCCCATGAAACGCTGACTGGGAGGATCCAGTTGTGTGGCTGTAGCCGAGACGCAACGTTGTGATGGAACTACGGGCATCACGGTTCAAAGGACAATTTCCAACTTCAGCCTTCACTCTCGGGACACAACACACAGCACTTGGGACGGACGTCTGTGACGCGAGCGTTTAATATCTAGATTCAATCAAGCGGACAAAACTTGCCAGTAATTTTTTTGGAGGCTAAGATATGACATTCAACTGTGCCAAAACGCTTGTGACAAATCAGTGAAGGCGAGCCAAGCGTATGTTTGTGTTTCGAATCAAACAGCCGTGAATATCGTTCACAATTGTAGAACTAGTGGTCAATACGTGTCCCGGATCAATGAACCTGTTTACTTGTAGAAAAGGATCTCATTTCGTTTCATATGAGAGATGCAAGCCAATTTGTTTTGTATGTGAACTTTTATAAAAAATGTCGACAGATAACAAAAGTTGTATATTTTGCCGTGGGTCA